GCGTTTTAGGTTATAGAAATTCTCCCCATGCATAAATTTTGTAGCACTAATTTGATCCTAAATCGGGCAAGAGGGGTGGGTTGGTTTTATTTTGGTCTTTTCCCCCTCTCTGTCCCATTCAGCAACACTGTAAAAGCTTTCAGCAAAAATACAGATTGTTGTTTGTATTGCAGAATGGACTGAACTCCTGGAAGAACGTGATTCCAGTGGTTTGTCTGAGCACTGTCACAGATGCCATGAGCTTTTCCATTGTATTGTACATAACTTTTGAAATGTTCTATTTAGTCATATTTTATAGGAGTATTAAAAAGCTACTGGCTAATTAATCACTTTTACACTTGTATAATTCAGAGCTTAGTTTAAAATAATAAATATGGCAAACAGTATTTTAGTGTTCTGCTTGCACTGGTGTTTGGAAAAGCAACATTTAAAGAGTTAAACTATATCAATAAACTGAGTAGTGTGGTGTATACCCCTGGTAGAACTGAAAATGCTTAAATGTGTGACATAAGCCAAACTTTGTTTCAGTAGAAATTAAGGGGAAAGCAGCCTTCTTGTCAGCAGGATATGCCATGTTCCATTTTAAGCTGCTGCAGTTTCAGAGTCATGTGAACTTGCTCTGGTTTGCTGTGGATTTGGCTCGGTGTACACAAAAAAAGCTGCAGTGCAGTCTCTGCTCAGCAAAAGCTTGGCACGTCCCAGACCCCTGATGTGGTTCTCACTGTGCTTTTATAACCATGGGTGATGCTGTGGCCATGAATGCTTGTACAAGGAACATGGCATCCAGCTGCCAGCCAGGCTGGGGAAAGAGTTCTGTTAACATTCATTATTATAAAAATTGAAACTAATTGTTGTGTCTTGCATCAATTTGTGCTGGGTCTTGCAAAAGACTGGAAACTGGGAGATGAGTTTGCTGATAACTGTCCTGTGAAATTCTGATATCTAATTGCTCAAATCTGGATGTGAAAAAATGATTTTTCTGTGTGCCTGGCATAAAAAACTTAATTTCTCAAAATATGATTGTTCATGATTCTGAAAATTAGATCCACTTAAGAAGTCTCACTCGAGAAGTAAACTCTGAGCTTTTTAATTCCTTTGGAAAGGACAGGCCTTAACCTCTGTGTTTTAATTAGAAAAACTAGTAATAGTGAACTTCTTCTGGGGTTCTTTTCACCTCTTTTAGAGGTCAAAGGCAGAAGGCCTTGTTTATTCTTCACTTTGAGCACCAAAGGAGCTTCCCCCACCACAGTGAGTTTCTTCATCCACCCAACTGAATTGTTGTGTTTGCGACATGCTGGCTGTGGCTCTTCCACCGTGGCACTGGACACAGCACTGGGAAATGAGCTTCAGGGCAGAGAGCTGTGTCCCAGAGGATCAGACTGATCCCAGTCACAATGCTTTCAGATCCTCTAAAGAATATTTACTGAAATTATTCTTGGTCCTTCTTTAGTGGCGAACATTTCAGCACTAAACTTTTCACTGTTTCAGGCTTTATCTCACATACCAGTGTGAATGTAAGACCTTTGCATTTCCTTGATTCCCTTTTGCCTAAGAAAACACTTTTAGTTCTGGTTTATCAAAAAACAAGACCAACTATGGATTAAAGTCCCAGCCAGACCCTCATTTATACTTAGCATCATGCAATGCTCTTGAATAACAAGTTACACTAGCAAAAACCCCAAACACTGCTTTTCCTGATTTAACCCATCTTCTGGGGGAGTACAGCCGCTTTCAATATTTTAGGCTCCTCTCAAAAAGAGATGTTTTTATAACAGTAGCTGTGCTCTTTTTTTGAATACATGTAGACTGCAGCATTCAGGGGCAAAAGGACAAGGGAGGAAGTGTTGTAAAAGCTCTTTCCCACAGGTCTATTTGAAGTGTGGAGTATATTTGCTTTGGCTTGGGGGGGAGAGAAGCCAGCACTGTTAGAGGCAGAACGGCAGCAGCACGCTGGATGGAAGGGCAGGAGCCCTGAAAGACCCTACTGCAGAGATGCTCAGAAAGCTTAAAAAACCAGCCTGAATTCTCTCTCCCCTTCTGTCAGTTCATTCAGTAACTACACAGATTCTGGGGCTGCAGCAAGAGTCGTCTTAATATAGGATTGTGTCCTGATGCCACAGCTATAAAGCTTAAATAGGCACATTTGATAGGGAGGTTCTTGCTGGAGTAAGGCTGGGAAAGCTCTGAAGTGTGAGCAGCCTTGAAGTTAATGAAAATAAAGATACTCAAAACCTTAAAACAGACTTCAGGATGCAGAGTCATGTACCCAAGAGCTGTACTAAGGGCCCATTTGAATCAGGGGCTCCCTCACAGCATTAAGAGGATCCAGAAAGAAAGATTAAACTCTATTATTCTCATGAGAAAATCAGCCTTCTTTTAACAAATTATGGTAACTGATCATATATCTCGTGCGAGAAAGTTGTGTCTACATTAGTGTCACACAGATGTGTTCTCTTCACTGTTGGGTTAATGGAGGTAAATGTTTTGAATCCATTTTAGAGCAGAGTTCTTGTACAGAAACTTCTGACAGAAATGCCATCTGTAGGGACTGGTGGATCCTTAAGTGTCAGTTTGGCAAGTTGTCCTAATGTGGGTAGCTGCAGAAATATTTCGTGTATGTTGTTGTAGATTTAAAAGCATTGCTCATGGTTTCATTCGAGTGTCTACATTTCTGACACGGATGTGACATATCTGTATATATTATAAATCAATACTATTTTTAACCACATATTTTGTACAAATATTCACATTAGCGCTGTACTTCAATGAAAATCTATTATGGTATTAAACATTTTGGTGGAATTAGCAAACTCCTTGTCGGTGCTTTGCTTTCATTTTATATCAGTGTTAAGCAGCTGAGCCATTTCTGGCATCCAAGGCAAATATAATTTCCAGCTATTCATGTTGTTCTTAAATCCAGGTGCACCTATACCCTCTAGTGACTGATCCCAGCCACTGCAGAGGCAGCTCCCAACACCTCTGGATCCGAGTGAGAGCCCAAAATCAAACCTGAACCAACAGTAAATGTGAGCACAGGTTTTTCTAGCTAATGAGTAACAGCGTGGGACAGCACATTGCTGTTGAAGGACACCCAGCAAGAGATTTCAATATACACAGGTGCAGTTTTAAAACAACTAACAACTTTTTCCTTTTTTCCCTTTCTCTAAAGTTTCTGGTGGGGTTCACAGCCAGGAATCAGATTATGAACTTGGTACAGAACAGTGACATCCACACAGGTTGTACCAGGCACAGCAGGAATGTTGTTCTCGAGGCTTGGACTAGCTCAGCCTCACACCTGGAACACAACAGCAGTAATGGAGGAGGGGAAAAGACAATAAAAAACAATTAGAAGAGCCTTGCTCCCTAGTACTATCCCTGGTGGTAGGGTGAAGGGGAGAACGGTATCACATATATGTATATAAATATAAAATGATAAAATTATATAAAATCGATGAAATTATTCCCTAGATCAGCAGTGCTTGTGTGTGTATACATATATATATATTCACCAGATGGGCAGTGTCAGCTATAAAGTGATTAATAAGCATCATGTTTGATTCTATGATTCCATATGGTTGGACTTGTAGATCCTCAAGGTTTCTTCCAGCCTTGACAATCCTATCATTCTGTGTTCCCATGCACCAGTAAGAGGATAATGGTTTTGTACACTGCCATGAATCGGGGTGGGGTTTGTGTACATACACAGGACATGGACTGTGGACAACTTTGGACTCTTACGTAGCACAGATCCTCAGCCAGGAAAGGTGGGAAACTTAGCTTGGATTTTTGTCCAGTTCAGCAGTTTAGATTCATCTAGTGAGATGGGGAAGGATAAATTCATTTTCATTCCAGGGCATAGCTGTGGGTCTGGACATCAAAAGGTGGTGAAAACCATCTTCTGGGAAGCAAATGTAAAATTGAGAGCCTCAGAACACAAGAGGAGAAAAAAAGGCTGACAGAAAACCAGCATCAAAGCCAATTTTTAAATTAATATTATTTCTAACTGAAGAAGTGTGGAGATCCAGGGCTTCTCTCTGGCTGCCCTGGCAGGTCTGGGACCCTGGCAGGGGTCGGGAGCCCCCCTGGACAGAGCCCCGGGGGGCACTGTCTGTGATCTCTGTCCGTGGGAAAGAGTTTTCAATCTTGCAGGATGAGTTGCAAGCTTTGAGTGTTTGATAGGAGTAGTAATTGGGTGTGACACGAGTGCAAAAATGAAGTTTTGGGTTTCTAGATTAGGGGTTCAGAGGGGACAGAGTAGAAGAATTAGGTGTGTCTTGTCCTTTTCCTCCTTCTTCATGCCCTCCATGTTTCGCTGTGGTGTTGGCATTTTTCTGTTAATTTGGGGTAGAGACGCACTGTTCAGCGTAAATGATAGATGTTGGCACATTGTTGTAAATGTAGTACATGTGGTTTCTAGTATATAGTGTTTGTGCCATCCCACTGAGGGGCAGAGCCCTGCACGCTGCCCTGCAAGACCGACCTACGGCAGGGCAGCAGAGCATATTATAGATAAGCAAGAATAAAAAACCTTGAAAACAACACAAATGAATTATAGCTTCTTCTTTAGCAACGAGGCAAAAAGACAGAGACTTTCTACAATCTCAGAATCACCAATACCCACAAATTCCGACAAAGAAGCACTTCCAGATATCCAGAGAATGCATTTTACTCCTTGTTTTACAGTCAGGTGAGCCAGCCGTGCCCAAGCTCTATGACATGCACTAACCATCCCTGGTGACATCTGCGCAACTGGCTGTGTCCAGTTCTGGCCCCTCAGTTCAGGAGGGACATTGAGGGGCTGGAGCGTGTCCAGGGAAGGGAACGGAGCTGGGGAAGGGGCTGGAGCACAGGTCTGAGGAGGAGCAGCTGAGGGAGCTGGGGGGGCCCAGCCTGGAGAAAAGGAGGCTCAGGCAGGGATATTCTGGCTCTGCACAACTCCTGACAGGAGGGGACAGCCAGGTGAGGGTCGGGCTCTGCTGCCAGGGAACAAGGACAGGACAAGAGGACATGGCCTCAAGCTGAGCCAGGGGAGGTTTCGGCTGGACATTAGAAAAATGTCTTCACAGAAATGCTGATGAGACACTGGAACAGGCTGCCGAGCAAGGCCGTGGAATCGCCGCCCCTGGAGGCGTTTAAGGAGAGCCCGAACGCGGCACTGAGGGCCGCGGTTCAGCTGACGCAGCGGTGCTCGGTCACAGGCCGGATCTGTGATCTCAGAGCTCTCTCCCGGCCCAAAAGACGCCGTTGGCTCCGTAATTCCGCAATTCCGTGTCCCGCTCCCGCCGGGCCCGCCCCGCAGGCGCGCAGTGACGGCGCCGGGGCCGCTCCCGGGCCGGGCCGGGCCGGGCTGGAGCCCCGCGGCCCCTCAGGTAACGGCGGCGGCCGCGGGGCTCGGGGGGTCCGGCCTCGTCCGGCCCGGCTGCTGCGGGTGCGGGCGCTGTGTGTGGGGATGGCGGCCTGGGCTCGGCATTCGCGTGTGTCGGGCTCCGGCGGCCATCGAGCGGGGCCCGGGGCTCTTCTCTGTCTGTCTTGTCCGTCCGTGTGTCCGTGTGGCAGCACCTGCCCTTGGCAGGCCGGGGGGTTCGTCCCCCCAGGGTTTTGTGGTGCCGAGTTCTGCAGAGCCCCGGGTGTGCTTCGGCTGTATCTGGGGAAGAGCAGTGTGAGAAGGCCTTGTAAAATAACCAAACCAGCCGTCATTTATTATTTATTGAGAGCATGCAGTTAAGGAGTTAGAATAATAGAATTAGAGATCATGCTGAGATCATTAGTCGTGTAAAATTCAGGAGTAGAGACTTGATTTCACTTGTGAGGGTTTCAATCCATACTTGTCCCTCCCCGGAAGGGGAGTTTATGGATTATGTCTAATTTGGCAGCTGGGATTCCAACAACACCACAGTGTGTTGTCCCTTTGTCCTTCAGGTGCAGCTGGAAGAAATCTCCCATCAGGTGGATCTGAGGTAATCAGTAGCCTTTGGGTCTGTGTTGTTTGCTGAAAGGGGAATTAAGTCTCTGGAATGTCAGTTTGTTCTTAGCAGAACTCAAGGCCTGCATTTTAATTTCGAGAGACACACAAGTCTGGTATAACATTTGATTGCCTGCAAGTCACAGAATCCTAAAATCACAGAGTGGTTTGGGTATGAAGGGACCTTAAAGCTCATCTCATTCCAACTCTGCCATGGACAGGGACACCTTTTACCAGCCCAGGTTGTTCCAAGCCCTGTTCAACCTGGTGTTGGATACTTCTAGGTATGGGGCAGCCACAGATCCCATTCCACTGTTGCAGTGATAATCAGATGCTTGTTATACCATAATTTCTTATATTCACTAGGATATTTATGTATTCTGAGTATTAAGATGGGTTTATTGGTTGCAAATTCACTGTTTTCCATCTGAATTTCAGTGGTGATTGAGTCCCACAGGATTGCTGAAAAATGGAAACCTAAAGGGAACTGTGAAAAATATTGAACTACCCATATGCAGGATTGGATTGAGCAATATCTGGTTTTGTGATTAAATGATACTGTTGAGCAAAAAGTGGGGAATATTAGCATGAAATTTTAGGTCAGTTACGGACAGGGAAGTTTTGTGTGAGGATTCTTACAGGGATCTTGCTTTGAGTAGATACCTGAGTTTAAAACAGGAAATTGTTTGGGGCAGGAGGAAATTGGGGCAGGAGGAAATTGGGGCAGGGGATCAAAAGCCAATACAATGTGAAATTATGTGTCATATTTTGTCAGATAAGGACATAATGAGGACTGTTAGATGAGGAATACCTGTCATAGCTAGGAGTAGTCAAAATCCTTGAGTCTTACAATCGGAATTAGAATCATAGAATGGTTTGTGTTGGAAGGGACCTTAAAGATCATCTTGTTCCAACCCTCTGCCATGGACAGGGACACCTTCCACCAGACCAGGTTGCTCAGAGCCCTGTCCAGCCTGGTCTTGAGCACTTCCAGGAATGGGGCAGCCACAGCTTCTCTGGACCTGTGCCAGGGCCTCACAGTAAAACATCTCTTCCTAATATCTAATCTAACCCTGTCTTCTGTCAGTTTGAAGCTGTTCTCCCTTGTTCTGTCACTGCATGCTTTTGTAAAATGTATCTTAGAGTATATAAATACATCAGGAATATTTTCACCACTCATTCTTAAAACTAAATTATGACTTTGACAACTTCTTCCTCTGCTCAACAGATGCCATGTTGCCTCAGAAGAGGGGACAGATACCTTCCAGAGGGGACAGAATAGCCATGAGCAGTTTGTGGAAAATCCTGGGAATTTTCTTACTCTCTCTTCCAAGCGCACTGTGTCTCCAGCCAGTCCAGCCCAGAGTGCTGCTGGTGTCGTTTGATGGGTTTCGATGGGATTACATCTACAGAGTGCCCACTCCCAATTTCCACTATGCCATGAAGAGCGGGGTGCACGTCAGGCAGGTGACGAACGTGTTCATCACGAAGACGTACCCCAACCACTACACCCTGGTGACCGGGCTCTATGCCGAGAGCCACGGCATCGTTGCTAACGAGATGTATGACCCTGTCCTGAACGAAACCTTCTCCCTGAACAAAATGAACACCCACAACTCCAAGTTCTGGGAAGAGGCCAGTCCAATATGGGTGACAAACCAGAGGGAAGGACACAAATCTGGTGCTGCTATGTGGCCTGGAACAGATGTGAAGATTCATGGAGTCTTGCCTACACATTACATGCCCTACAATGAATCTGTTCCCTTTGAAGACAGGGTAGCAAAGCTCATTGAGTGGTTTACATCAGAAGAGCCCATCAACTTTGGTCTCCTGTACTGGGAACAGCCTGATGAGGCCGGACATGTTCTGGGCCCTGAAAACCCACTTATGGAAGCAATAATCAGTGACATTGACAGAAAACTGGGATATCTCATTTCTGAACTGAAGAAAGCAAAGCTGTGGGATGTGATAAATGTCATAGTCACAAGTGATCATGGAATGTCACAGTCATCCTCAGAAAGGCTCATTGAGCTTGATCAGTATGTGAGCAGAGAGCTCTACAAAGTCATCGACCACTCCCCTGCAGTAGCCATTTTGCCAAAAGAAGGTAGGAGCTACAACAGTAATGTTCCTGAAGAGGAGCTTGAGTATCCAAACTTTATAGACTGAGCTGGTGGTAGCAGCACTGGTGGCAGTAGGACATCAGCCTTGAACAAGGAGTACTTGCAGGATCCCTTTGTTGTTTTTGTGGGCTCTGTCAAAAGCCTGGATGAACTTTCAGAAAAGAAAAGGGAGCAAATCTGTTTGCTGTTGACTAATATTGCCAAGGACTCTTTAGTCCTTTTGAGAAGTAAGATAATCTAATGGCAGTGCCAAGGCTGAATGGTGCTCTAGATAGATAACACCTGAATGTTACATATCTTGCCTTTCATCAAGATGCTGGAGCCATAGTGGAAGAATTATATTTCTAACTCAAACAGTAAACTGAGAACAGATGGGGATCTGTCTTGGCTATTTGATTGGCTGCCAGCTATTGTAGTTCATTTGAGTTTTTCCCCCGTCATGCTGGACAGCCAGTCAGTTATATTCATACCATTTTTACTGAGATAAAGATGGGCAAGAACAATGTTGGAATCAAAATCTGAAATCTGGTTGCAAGTCACCTAAGGGTTGCTGAGGTGCCAGGTGTATATTTAGTGTCACTAATGCATCTGCTTTTTATTTTGATAATCAAGTACTGTAAACTACCTGGTGCAGAAGTGTAAACATGGAAAATAACACCCCTGCCCACACAAAAAAAAGGTGCTAATTTGGAAGTTGAATTTCAAGGCAGCCTTCTGGAAAGATGTTTTTTAAGAATTCTGTAACATTGCATCAGTAATGGATAGATAGCACTCTAATGCCTAAGCAGGGAGAGTATTTTGCAGAATTAAGTGACCTGTAAGTCACTTAATTCAAATATGAACAAATGTGTCTTGTCATTTATAATTTGAAGACTACTCCAGATTAAAATGTATGTCCAAACTGAGGTCTCTGCTGCCTGAGCACAGTCAGGCCCTGTAGCTGGGTGCTGTTTCTCTCTGAGGTGATAAAAGAGCCAAGTTTGGAAGCTTCTTCCCCACAGAGGCAAACAGGTTGCCCAAGATGTTCTCATTAGTAAATAAAGCTGTAAAAGTAAACTTCAGTGCTGACACCCCCCCTAATGCAGTAAAGGAGAACTTTAAGATGTGTAACTTGATTCTCCTGTCTGCTAAATGCTAAAAAGAAACAGTATCTTTGCTACAATTAGATTATAGAATAGTAAAAAAGCCATTTCAGTGGATTTCAGAAACAGCTTGGATTTGATTTTGCCCGGAGATTGAGGTATTTATTACACTACCAATAAATAAGAATTAGTTTTGAGCACAGCTAAAATTCTTTCCTTTAGTGGTACCAGATGTTATTTTTATTATAAACAGTGAGTTTCACTGTCAGTTCAGGTATGAGCTAATATGTGCTTAAGTACATAACACTGATTCTTATCCTGCTATTCAGTTTGTTTTTCTTAAACCAAGGGAATGGTACAATTTAGTGAGATTGAGAAGAAGTTTGAATGCTTAAAAATGCAGCAATTTCTTTTAACTTTTTGGCTATCTATTGCTTCCCCAAGAGATGGATTAAAGCCATTATTTAACCATTCTGGTGTATTAGTGTGTGTGGGGAAGTAATTAGATGTTTACAAAAATGGTACCTGTACCACAGCTGGTGATGCTGGCCTTTTTCTTGCATTTAATATAAATATATTAAATCAAATAATTAGGATAAAATCAAGTTTGCTATATTTGGGACTTCCTCTCCCTGCCATCCCATATAGAAAGCTGGCATAGCAAAATTAACTTTTTTACTAATATAGTCCTAGAAATGCTGCATTAGAGTCCCTCTTCTTGTTGCTGTAACTATCTCAGATACCTTCGCTTTTGCTGTCTCATCTTGACCCTTGTTTTGTTTCTTAATTTAGTGATTCTTTTTTTTTGGTGCCAGTATGAGATAAGAAACATTAATCTGTTTCCTTTAGAATGGACATATTAATGCATTTTCTTTCAGAATTTCTATACTGGATTCTAGGAACTGAAGGGGAAAAATAAGATGGATTCTTTAGAAACATTTCACACTTTCTTCTAAACATTTTTCACTGATATCCATTCAAAACTCCATGGATACTGGAAATGGCAGTCTGAAAGGGGCCTGCAGACACACAGTGCATTCAGCTGCTTGTATCACACAAATACTTACCTAAATCACAGAGCTGAGGGATTTGGTGTGTCACAGGAGTCTGTTGTGTGCACTCCATGGCTCTCATGGAATCTGGCCTTAAGTGGAGGTGGGGAATGAAGAAATTTGGTCAGATGTCAATTCCTGCACTTGCTTTTGTGTTCCCGGCTGTTTGTTCTGGTTCCTCCATTCTGTGCTCTGGTGTTCCAGCCAGATTGACCAATGGGTTGTGGCTCTCAGTGGCTTTTACTGGAAAGGCAAACTCAGATACTGGAAATAAGCAAATAAAGAATTGGAGGTGGAAAATGCCTAATTATTCAGTGTCAGTAGAGCTCTTGAGGGTTTGTGCTCACTTGATTAGGGAGGGGAAAGAGCAAGCATTGGGAATACAGAGGAGTAGCTCATGCTCTTGGGTGTTATTGAATAATAAAGGAAAGCAGCAAACTGCTTTAAAATAGATTTAAAGTGTCACTTGTTGTTACAGCCAGGTGACAGAATTTGGCCTGAATGCAGCCACTACCTCACAAACAGGTTTAGGAGGTGTCTTCTTGCTTTCAGGCACTGCATAAAGCTAGGAAGGTTTGGTTCCTTTTCCAGGAGACAACTGAATGCTTTCTAACTCATTCCTGTGAGAAGCTTTCTGATAACTGAAATGAGGGATTTTTGTCTAAAATTAGCAAGGCAGTTATTGCTTGGGAACAGGCTGTGACATCTGGTGCTGAGGGGATCTTACCATGACTGAGGCTCTGAATTTCTCACAGGAACTTCTCTGCACACACTGTTGTCTCTTACAGTTAGAATTCATTTATGGGAAGTGCATTTTGCCCTCTTCTTTCAGCTGTATTTTAACCACTGATGAGTTCAGCAGACACACTGGTATGTTTAATTTTTGTCTTTTGTCTCTTTTGTTTGTTTGAAGGCAAACTGAATGAAGTATTTGAAGCTTTGGCCAATGCTCATCCCAACATGACTGTATATAAAAAGGAGCAGATTCCAGATAGATTTCATTACAAACACAACAGGAAAATCCAGCCCATCTTAGCAGTGGCTGATAAAGGATGGGAAATTGTACATAACAAGACTGATGGTTTTCTATGTAAGTATTCTATATTTATAGTGTTTTGCTATAATGTTTAGTATAATGCTATAAGGCAGTGACCTTATGTGGTACTTTATCTCCTAGTATCAGCAACCAATGTTCATTTTTTTTTAAGCTGGGAGGGCAAACTAAAGTGTGTGAAATTTATATATTTTCCCCTGATGGGATGGGAAGCAGCCTACTGTTTGGAGAGGAGGATCTGAACTTACTGTTTCTTAAATATTAAACTTAGTGAGATAAGATCAATCACACGTTTTAGTGGCTCCATACTTGAGGTCTTTCAGGATGTAGCAAACCAACAAGCACTTCCTGAGAGATTAAAAACCAAAGTTGTAACTGAATGTGTTGAGTGGAGAGTGAATAGGTTTGTTTTATCGTGTTTTATTTACTGGAGAAGAGTTGGGTTGGAAAATACAAGAACATTTTCTGAAAGTTCTCAGCTTGTCTGGATGCTACACTTAGAGTAACCTGGTTCTATTGTTACAAAGAGTCTCTGGATATTGTCTTACTGCACACGAGCAATTTTCATTTGCCTTGGAGGAAAAAAATGCATTCTAGGTGATTTGGAGGAATAAAACCCCCAACACTTTCAAGTTCCTCACCTTGCAGTTTTGAGATCTATTACAGGTAGCATGGAGACAGTGAACTGTAACTTCTTGGTAACCTAAAATACAGGTGTTATATATATACAGTTCTTACATTTCTAAATTAAAACCTTTTGAACTTTGCTTCTGGTTATGAACCTGAAGAGTGTTATCAGCAAGACTTAACACAATTTTCAGTAACTGCTGAGAGTACCTTCTTGTGCCTGTGTGTTTGACATGTTCCCAGTTTTTAATGCCCCTGTCAGGAATGGGCACTGGACACCCACCAGTGAGTTCTTCTTCCTTGTTGAGGACTTGATGGTGCACAAAATTGGACAAAATGTCAGAGTGTCTCCTTGGAGTCACATGGACAGTCTGTCTCTACGTGGTTTTTTTTATTTTTCTCTAAGAGATCTGGACCAGTTGCAAAGTTGGAGTTTTTCCTTGAGGAAAATCAAGGAAGTTTGGGTGTACACAGTATGCCATTGACAATGCTGTTAGTGCCATATGAGCTCACTTTTTTTCCTCTTCTTTGTTAAATAGTGTTCTCTGTTGTGGGTTTTTTAGGTATTTTTATTTTGTAGTTCTGAGACTTTGCATTGCTAGGAGACATTTGTGCTGCAAATCAAAACAATCCTCTCTAAGGATGGCTGTGCCTTTTTTGCATTCTGCTAATTCTAGGAAAATGTTCAATGCTTCTTTTGCAACTTTGGAATATTGACCTTTATCTATCTTTTATTTCTAGTTGGTAATCATGGATATGACAACACTGTACCAGAAATGCATCCCATTTTTTTGGCAGTTGGGCCTGCTTTCAGAAAGAATGCCACCAAACAATTCATGAATGCTACGGACTTGTACCCCTTACTGTGCCATCTGCTTGGCATCAACCCACTGCCCAACAATGGTTCCTTCAATGCTGTGAAGGATATACTTGCTGAGAAAGTTCCTGGAGCCCGTAGAGCAGATTCCTACTCCACTGTGATAGGAGTCTTCCTGGGCAGCTTGCTTGTTTTGGTTTTTACTGCAGTTTTTGTTAAGCATTTTGTCCTTGCCCAAGCAAATTCCATGCAAATCCGACACACTGAAGTTGCCCAGCCACTGCTGCAAGATTAATAACACCTGGGATTATTTCCTGTTTGAGGCTTAAAATAAGCCTATACAAAGAAAATAAACAATGGAGGTGGATTAGCATGAATATACGGAGTGAAGGAGATGGATGCTGATCCATTGGGCATGTACAGACCAGGGATGGAGAGAGAGCATGTTCCTGTTTCACACTGCAGCCACTTCATCTTCCAGGGATGGGTAAACCTGGGAAGCTCTTTGTGTATGTAGACCTGTAGTGACAACAGACCTCAAATATCTTATTATGGCTATTTTTAGGGAAATAATATCAACTGGGGGTGCACTTCACAGACTATTAAATGGTGATTTCATCACTCACCCTCTTTTTTGTTTTATTCTTTGAGGGTTTTTTTGAGTCTCTTTGATTTTAACAAGTCACTGAATGGTACTAAACTTCTTCGTTAGTATTTTTCTTCCCTACCCAAGGAAGCTTTTGCATGGATCACCATTACAGATAACTTGGTTAAATCATGCAGGAAAAAACATTCAGCTGGCTCATGCAGTGCTAGGTGTATAAGTTTCAAGTTACATATATTTCTTCAAATTGCTGTGTTAGCTGTAGCCCCAAAATACAAATCTTAAGTGGTATTGCCTTTAGCAATCAGTATTAAACTGCTTGATTCTTAATATTTAAAAATGTTCTTAAGTAAATATAGGTTTTTACCACTTTAGATATGATTTCAGGTAAATGTATGTCTTTACTTTTTTCTATTTCCTGTGCACTGCACTAAATTTTCGAGGAGTTCCATGCAGCTGGCAGGATAAAGACACGTACAAGCACCACACCTGTATATCCAAATGGAATATTTTCTATTTCTGTGGTGCTAAGGGAGGTGAATAAGTTAAGGAACAAGGATGCTTAGGCTGGTTTCAGAGTGTTGTCAGGCTTGTCTCTGGTCTGCTAGTGGAGATTCTGAGTTTGACTTGTGTCTTGTGCTTTATCTGTTCTGTCTGGGTGGGCCTTTGGAATGGGATGATCAGGACAACACATGCAGTTTAAGGGGCAGCTGTATAAATCTTAAGCCATATATGTTTGTAAATCTGAAAAAGCACACATTACTAATAAAAAAAAAAAATGTAAGACTGGAGTTTATTTTTCCAGAGGAAAACCTCTGTCAGGGAAAAATATTAATTCTGACTCAACAAAGGTACATATTCTCATTCTTTTGTATGTGGCAATAAATGTGGCCTAGTGTAGCTGTGAGTTTTTTTGTGAGCTCACTTAAATGGTGAGAATCCGCTGACTAAAGTTTGTATGAAAAACGTTCTGAAGTGAGGAAAGTTGTCTATTGTCAGACTTCTCCCCTTCTCCCTGTGAGATGATAGTATTTCTCAGCACTTTGTTGCTGAGCACAATGCCTGAAGGAGAAAGAAACTTTCAAAATCAGTGCAGAAATAGCAGCCTAGGTATTTTTAAATGCAATTTATGTCTTTATCCACAGCCCCCAGCAGAAGGCAAGGATGGGAACACCTGGGCTTTGGATGTGCAAAGGCATGACAGTCAGTACTGCAAGGAGAGGGTTGGGGTACAAAATTCCTTTTTCTGGGCTAAATCCCAGACTTTATGAAGATCTGTTGTGTTCCTCTTCGATGGCAGGGACACTTGCTTAGCAGCAAGCTGTCTTGCAGACAGATGTGGATATTTCCAGAGGCCACATTTGGGTGCAGTGAACGCTTCAGAGGGAAGGCAATGAAATAGCCCAACATTTTAGTAGCTTTAAGAAGGCAGGAAAAATGCAGGTCTGTTGGAAGACAGCCCCCAGATTTGGGGAATGTCTGTGAAATCCTGTGATTTCCAGCTGACTCTATGCTGTTACTGTGCTGTGAACTGCCTTGTTTTCCTGCATTGCCATTTTCTTAAGAAAACACTGAAGGAAAAGGTTACTGTAAGGCTGATTCTTAGTGCAGCTGGCCCTTAGCTGTGCCTGAATTTGAATTTGCTGGCACAGGTAAAACGGACTGCTGCAGAGGCTCCAGCTGAGCCACGACACCAGTAACGTGTTCACAGCAGTTTTCAGAGACCAGGGAAGTCTGAGCAGAAAACCCAAACCTCTGAGTTGTTACTAATTCCTTCCCTACCCACCTTCCAAAAAGTGGATGGCACACAGCAAACTGATGCAGAGTCCACCTTTTCTTGCTTATTTGCAGCTTAAAAATGAATTGTAGCACAAACGTATGGTGTGTTTAAAGGAATATCTGCAGGCTTGTGATAAGACAGTAACAGTGACAATTGTCATAACAATGCCATAACCATCACCTCTAGCTTCTGCACTTCGGAACATTTTGCTTTAGTAGAAATTCTTCTTGCTGCAGTAATTTAATTGCAGTGGTCGTGGCAGATGTAACAATAACTTGGTTGTAATCTCAGAGCTTTTCCTTAAACCTCACTTTAATTGTGGCAAGTGTAGTTCTATCATCAGCCACAGTGACCCTTGATTTTAAGGAGGGGGTGAAGTTTGTCAGTGTTGATCAGCCATTTGGGACTATGATTTACCTGCCCAAATAGACAACAAGGATAGAGCAGTAGTTTCCCCCAACAAAGGGTTGGGTAACAATAATATCAAATAGGCTGGGCACAGGAACATGAGAATTGTTGATGTCATTGTTCTGTATTGCACTGTGAGGCCCTTCTTTGAGGAGGGCAAAATAAAACTTTGTAAAAAAAAATGAAGGGAATCTTGTAGCATTTGGGTATTTCAGATTAGGGTCAAACATTTCTTTTATTCTTAGGTGTATTTGCAGGTACCTCTTGGGTAGTTCCTTGTTAGGACATTTGCCCAACTGTTTTAAGTTACTGGGTGTGAGCTTAATGAAATTGAAAGCACAGATGATGCCACTCGAGAAAAGTAGCAACTTTTTTTCTGATATTTTGATATTTTGTCAGACACCTTTTTGGGTGGGGGGGGGGGGGATGTGGGATTTGGTTTTTGTGATACTTTCTGTGATTGTACAAACAAGTTTATTGGAAAGAGAATTTAAGTACACTGTGTACTGCTTGTAACTTAAACTTGGAAACCAAAAATGATGCATGATATGTTTCATTACTGACCTGTTGAGCATAAAGATGTCAAATGTTTTCTTTGTTTCTTCTTGTTTGGAAATGCAGAGGTTAAAAGAAATCTTTGCTATAATGCTGTCAAGCATGGGAGTGCTGGCTTCATTGAAAACACTTCTGGAAAATAAACTTGGACTGGGGGGAGATGACTGGGGGAGAATGGTTTCAACTTGTATGCATCCCAGCTATTCTTTGGACTCTGCAAAGTGTATGCCTTTGTTAAAAATAACTGGAAGTGTGACAGAAGTTTGGAATTTTAGGTCACAGCTCTTATATAACAGACTTGTTTCCCACCTTGCTGCCATATATGGAAAAAACTGCTATCAGTTACCAATAGTGGGAATCCAGTTTCTTTTACTAAAAAAAAAAAAAAATCTTCCAGACTTTCTTGGTCAAGAGCTGCAGTAATACTGCTACAAGAAATGCAGTCTCAAAAAAAATAAAAATTAAAAAGCAGAAAAATCAGATTCATTAAATCACTTAGGTTGGAAAAGACCTTTAAGATCATCCAGTCCAACCATTAACCCAGAACTGCCAAGTCTGTTGTAAGATGAAATGATGTGCAAACTGACTTTTCATAGAATCATAGAATAGTTTGGGTTGGAGGGGACCTTAAAGATCAGCTCATTTCAAGCCCCCTGCTCCCCTGACCTCTGTCAAAACTGTGAACAGCAGAGTTTGACTTCATGTGGGAGAAGGACAAATGTGCAGTGGTTGGGTCCCATTCTGTAAAATGGAAATTTAACAGACTTACTTCCCAGTCTTCTTCCCTGCTTAAATAATTCCATGGATGCTGTATTGGCCATATCTGTGTTGCTGTATAAAACTTTCATGGCATGTTTGCCCTACAGTAAAGGTGATATAAGCATTTATTAGATAGTAAACTACAAAAATTGTTGCAAGCACATGAAAATTATAAATTCAGTAATGGTATCAGCCTTTCCATAATGAAATCCTAATCTGAACCCTATTAACAAACCTCTAATACTGTTTTTTTGCAATAAAAGATGCTACCATGCATGTTACAGCAAACATCTGTCCCTGTGGTCTGGTCCTTGGAGCTACACAAAGTTGGTTTATTTTCACAGGCAATGTGTAGGCAGCAAGTTACTGAAAGCAGTGTTTCAGAGCTGTAGTCAGGTGAAATCAGCTTAATTCTGGAACTGTTTCTGTGATGCCAATGCCCAAAAAGCACAGAACGCCAGAGGGGTTTGTTTAGGGCTGCTGGACCCAGTGTGGAGAGCTCCTGTATGGAGGCAGTCAGTGTAACAAAACATCTGCCTTCAGTGCTGGGAAATGTCACTAAATACCCCTATTCCTCTCTAAACTGCAAAGCCAGTTAAGGGTTAGGGACTTCCCCTGAATTATCCTGCCCTGTGTGACCATTGCTGAGTTGTGTCTATTTAGCAAGTCATGAAATGTTGTCACAAACTACTGTCCCTTTGTCGCAGCCTTGAGGAAGCACAAGCCACAGTTTTGCTGTTGTTATTCTGAACTGGCTGCTCAAAAGGAAATCAGCCACTGGCTTTCATGAGAAGTACTTCACACAAACCAGAATGAGGCACTGGAAATGTTTTGTCATGTTTAAGGCTCTGTTGTTAAAAATTATAATCCTTAAATAAATAAATTGCATGTCTTAAAGACAGATGTTTTTTCTAGATTCTCTTGATTTGTACATGATCTGTATGAAACTGGATGCACAAGAGGTACTCTGAAACCCTTTGTGCCAGGAAGAACACTCAGCACCTTTACAGACCACACCACATCTTTGGAAATGAAAATAATCAGCAGTGCAACTGGAATATAGTTTATCTTACTTAACACTTAATTTTCTCTTCAAACCCTTTCCACAGCAGCACTGCCTCATCTAAAGGGAGGAGGAACAGAGGGTGATAAGGATTCCCAGCAGACACAGCCTCTCGCTGGTTTCACAGCAGCTCAGTGCCTGTGGCAGTTCTCATCAGAAGGGGCTGCCTTAGTGCTAGGAGGAGAAATGCATTTAGACCTTGATTTCCTGAGCTGTAGCAACATTCCTATTTCAGGTCAGAGTTCTGCTATCCTGCTTCAATCAGCATTTACAGTTCTGGTCACCAAAGCCTTGCTGGTAACTTTGCCACCTGCCTGGGAGGGGATGCACGAGGAACTGAGAGCACATCGATCACATGCTGTGTGACAGCTGCTGGGGGGAAGGAACAGAGTGGAGAAAATACTGTCCTAACCAATTTTAGCTTCTAGAAAAGAACCCAAAACTCACAGATAGAGGAGAGAATGTTTGCCAGAAAGATAAACTCAGTCAAGCCTTTCCAAACACAGGTGATGCAAAGCATCTCCAGTAATTCTCTGACTGACCCTCTGCGGACCCTGCTCTGCATGAGAAGAATTAACAGAACCTAACAAAACTCTCTCCAACATAGGAATTCAATCATCCTCCCTTTTACAGCTTATCTAAGCCTAGGTTCTACCCTGCAACACATTCCCTTTGTAGTTACTCATTAACCTGACCTCTTGGTGCATGTAATTGATTAATTTAAATATAGCAGGATGAGAAAGTGACTCTGTGTTCAGTCCAGCTACTGCTCTAGAATATCAACAGGCTAAAATCCAGTACTCTGTCAGTAACAGCACAGATTTTTCAAGGAGCCTGAGCCTTTTTCAATTAGTCTGAACCCTTCCAGTTCAGATTAATTTAGAGTAAACCATTAGTAAGTAATAATTAGTAGTTAGAAAAAAAAAAGAAGAAAAAGCAGAAGTAGTTAGGTTTTGGATTGTGTTTTTAATCAAGTACAATGGAATCCCGAGAGGGGAAGACACACCTTACTAAAACTTCCACACATTTGTAAAACTCAAGTTTATTTTTTGACAGTGGGCAGTTCAAAGTAACCCCTTCTCTCTAAAGTTCCTGCTCCCACCCTGCTGGATTATTAAATGGCTATGGCCAACACCAAACTACAATGAATCTGAAGTTGTGAAAGAGAAACCCCAATTGCTACCGCATACCTCTGTCATTTTATTTTTTAAAACCATGAAACTTGTAGGAAGAGGACTTGATAACTGTAGAACTCTTTCTGGGTTAGCAATAACAATTTAATCTCACTGAAAGATAAAGTACCATTTCAGGCTTTCTTAATCAAACAGTTTATTTATTGCAAGTTACTAGATGACCATTAACAAAGAATCAAGAATTTCAATTAACAGTTAGCTCTGGTCTTCAGCAGGAATTTGCATCTATGTACCTCAAGCATTACAGAGAATTTATTTTTTGAGATAAGACCTGCTAACTTCTTCCTTTAAATTTCCAGGGTTTAAAATATGAGTTTGAAATCCTTGCTTGATGACATGCACATCAAACTTCCAGCTGTTGCTTTTTAGCACAACAGCCTTCAAGAGGCAATTATGAGCTGGTACATAGGGCAGAACCACCTTTATCTCAAGACCACCTTCAGCAGAATTTACTCCTGAAAATTTTTTGATAGGGTTCAGGAGCATTGATTTTACACTACAGCTGATGAAACTGGGTAATTCAAAGACTCCCAGGTTAAACTGACTTTCTTGAGCTAAGGCAGTAGTGCCATCCCAGCTGGATCTGTGGATCTAAGTCATCCAGAGAAACATATCCAGAAATGTCAGAACCACCTGCCCAGGCTTATGTAAGTGCTTGCACATAGTTTATTGCTCAAAATAGAAGAGCTATGCACCACTTCTTTAATCACTGGCTTCTATTTTCTTTCTCAAAAATTCCTTGTCACATTGCTGACTTAGGGCAGAAACAGAAGTCTTGGATCTTCTTTCCCCAAATTTAAGGGCACACCAGAATATACTCTCTAAACAAAACTAACTCCTAACTCTCAATAAAGTTTTTCTTTCCAACACAGGTGCAAGAACACTAAAAGTAGTCAATATTAATTTAATACAAAAAAGCAATTATTATTTACAATTTTAAAATTCACTTTGTGTATCCTGGCTAGTCACACTCTGGAGTCTCATTCGGAAAGTGTTCAGAGGCTTGAATGAAACACTAAGCATCCTTATTTTGTTAAGCATCTCTTCCAGTAAAAAGCCACCTGTTTACTGTTTGGTTATGAAAATATTTTTATCTGACACTAGTCACACAAATCAGCAGGGTCTGGCTGTACAGTATTTTACACAGATAAAGTGCATCAAACAAAGAATGCCATCCAGTGCAAATTGAAACTGTTTTCCTGAAATCACAATGTAGGAAGCGAGGCTCGGCTCGCCCCGCGCTATCCAATCAAAGGATCGTCGTCGTCGCTCTGTAACTGGAGCCGGGCAAAGGGCCGGGAGGGAGCCACTCTGTTCTTGGAGATGATGATGATGCAGGTGAAAGTGCTCAGGACCATGAACACCCCGATGACGATGCCGATGGCCTCGGGGACGCTGACGCACCACTGGTCAGCCAGCAGGCACTTGGTGTTGGCGAAGGTGCCGTTGTGTGGCCGCGGGGCGAGCCCCAGCACGTGGCACATCATGGGGTAGATGTCCACGTTGGCCAGGCTGCCCTGGCGGTGGCCGCGCCGGAAGGCAGGACCGTGCGCGGCCAGGAACGGGTGCATGCTGGGCAGGGCGTTATCATAGCCGTGGTCCCCCACTGCAGCGGGGCAGAGCACACAGTTACTGGCACAGCCTCTGCTGAGGAGCCACTGCTCCCCTCCCCATCTCCCCCGCCCCCAAAGCGTGTGTTCTAACCAAAGGTGAATGCACAACATAAAAGCAGCTGTTGGATCAACTGCAGAAGAAGCCAGAGTTCCTTCCCTCTTCCCCCAAACCCCACAGGTCTTTTCCCATGCTGGCCTTTCCCTATGGTTTTCCCTCCTATTAATCTCTTTTCCTGTCAGTGCTTAACATTTCCAGTCTTGCCCTTCCCATTCTTCATGCCAAAGGTGAAAAGGAAGTTGCCATTCCACAATGAGTCACTAGCTAGAATGCAAATTTTTACTCCTCAGATTTTGGAAAGACGTCTCTCCTTGTAGAATGGACACTTTTAATTACTTATTAAAAATCAGGCACCTTTCCCTTGACAGTGTTCAGTTGGAGCATACTAAACATCCTTAATTCATGCTTATCAGATAAGGTACTTCAGCTGAGGGACATCCAGAGTCAAAACCAAAAGATCATTGTGCCTCTGGCAGGCACATAGCAAAACCTTTGTGGCTATCAGGTCAAAAGAACTTGGACATCTGGTAGGTTTTTAAGATTGATTATAAACAGCTGAAGAGCAGCCATTGTTGAATTTTGTAACAGCATTCCCAAAAAACCTGTCCAAGGTGCCAGAAGTCTCTCACAGCACAGTATTTGAGTGACTGCATTTGAGTCCATTTCTTAGTAACTGTGGAGGAATATCACTGAGAACTGTTTCCTTGGGTGCTTCCCTGAAGCTTCTGATGCAAAAACATCCAGATTCCAACCGATTAGGTGACACTCACCACTTCAGAGAGCTTCCACTAGTCCTTTTTAATGTTTTCCACCATTCTGTTTGTTACCACATCTTGTTTGTTTTGACTCATGTTTCTAGATTGTTTTCCCTGCCTTTTACTACTTGTTTGTTCTGAGCAGAGCTACTCCAAGTCCCCTCACCAATGAAGTTGCCAATTTTTCACCTCTGAAGTAGGATTCTGGTGTGTGGAGTTACTGGTACACTTGGCAATCACTGTGCTGTCACTGTCTGTGAAGACTATAAACCTCAAACAGGCTTTTAGGCTAAAGCATCCCCTGCCTGATTCTGGGAAGCCTTCACAAATAAAATTGATTTGAAAAGAGATTTACTTCAACTGATACAATGCTGTTCCTTATAAATATCCACTTATTAACTATTTTTAGGTACATGAAATTGAATCTAAGCAGAAACAAGGAAAAGAGAACTCTGATCAGAGAACACCTGTGCTACGTGTTGCCACATTGAAGATAATTGTAGCAAATCCATGGGTAAATCAAAATATAAACACATCCTGCATCAAAAAGCAGTACTTCTGTACAAATACTGAAAAAACCTGAACTTAATTCTGCAAAGAGCAGACAGTAAGATCAGCCAAAGTGGGTGCAGCCAGGATTTTACACCACTCAACACCCTGTCTCTAACAGCAGTTGTACAGGGAAGTATCCAGGAGGGATATCCCTGACCCTACTGACCAGCCTGAGCTGTTGGCTGCTCAGAAACTTCCCAGAAGTTGGTACTTTTGTATTTAATTTCTATTAATGGGTTTTCCTACCAAGAATCTGTCCAATCACTTTCTAAACACATATATACACACACAGACACGGAGCCTTCATCTCCAACCAGAATTACAGGTTAGAATCTTCTTACTATTACAACAAGGAAATCTATCTGGAATTTCTTCTTTGAGATAAACTTTCATGTGACTGTTGCATTTTTTCAGTTAATTATCCATGCCTCTTGTATGCCAAGAAAACCCTGCCTGTGGAACACCTGGAAATATATACACATATATTTACACACATACATATATATGTATGTGTAATTTGACATTCTAGAAGGAAGTGCTAGCTAAGCAAGACACTGAGAAGTGACACCTGTTGAGTTTTGTCTTTCAAACATGCTGCTGTGTTCCTACTATTTTTAGTATTTCCTGCCATTTATTTTCATTCCCTAGAACATGTATTGTAATATTA